GCTGAGGCAGGAGAATCGCTTGAACCCAGGAGGAGGAGGTTACAGTGAGCCGAGATTTCGCCATTGCACTCCAGCCTGGGTGACAGAGCAAGACTGTCTCAAAAAGAAAAAAGAAAGAAAAGAAAAGAAAAGAAGGAAAGAAAGAAAGAAAGAAAGAAGAAAGAAAGAAAGAAAGAAAGAAAGAAAGAAAGAAAGAAAGAAAGAAAGAAAGAAAAGCAAGAAAGAGAAAGAGAAATGATGCACCACCCAAGCAAATGTAACCTTGTGGCCAGATGCCAGCCCACTTGCCCCTTTGGCCAGGCCTTCTTGTACTCTGAACACCTGGACCCTGGGGCCTGAATGGCAGAATGGAGCCCATGACATGGGCTCCCATTTATTCCTCTTCTCTTCCTCTCTCCCTCATCAGTACCCCACCCAGAGCAACTTCTCCCTTCTCCCTGAGCCCCCTCCTGAAACAACATCAACAAAAAGCCTTAATGTGTATTAGCTCATGCAGATAGATACTTGCGTGGGAGTAGGGAATATCATCCATCTACACATGAGAATTGCCCAGAATGTCTGTTAGGGACCAGCCAGAATACCCTACTAATAAATGATTTTCTTATTAATCCACCTGGCACCCTTATGAGTAACTTTTATCATCTCCATTTTAGAGATGGGGAAACTAAAGACCAGAGAGGTTAAGTGAGGTTAAGAGGTTACCCAGGTAAGTAAGGAAGAACATCAAACCCAGGCATGTTTCTCTGCAAAATCGACGCTCATATAACCACTAGACAGGTTCATCATAGCTAATACGATTCAACTTCCCAATGGTTAAAACAAGAGCTACTCAAAGCAATCAAATATTAAGATGTAATCAGATATTATCAAAGCAGTTATACAAAGAATACTGTGAAGTAAATAAACTAGGAATCAATATATTTATCAAAAGTGATCAAAGTATAATTATGATGGGTAATCAAATCAATCAAGTATTAATATGCATTAGCATTTTCAACATCTAATTATAGAGCACATAATCAAAATATAATGGTGACAAGAGTAATAACAGTCACTCTTTAAAATTGCTCATCTGAAAATTCAACATTCTTATCCAACCAGAGCCAAATCCAAAATCTAATGAATCTTATAGGCATCACTCAGAATCCTTCCCTGGTCCCACGAGGACCCCTCTAATTAGAGTGCTCATATCATTTATCGTTTACATTTCGAGACTGAAAGAGGACTCTGTTAATAATTACATTAGATCAATAGGTCCAGGCAGATGCACACCTATGAACACCTTTCCTGTAATAAGCTCTGTTCCCAAACTTTAAAAAATTGAACACAAATTTTAAAAAATAATCATTAAGTCCATATTTTGTGCAGAACTGATACTAGATATTAGAAATACAATTGGCAGCAAAATATCATTTTAGGCTTCATATTTTCTGCTAGAAAACACAAACAGATAGTAGAAAGTTAAGCTGCAATGCAATAAGCTTCACAGTGGGGACAAAGTAGGATGCCATGGATGCACATAGAGAGAGAATTGTTGCAGTTATCTATTGCTGCACAAAATACCATCCCAAAACATGGTGGCTTAAAGCAATAACGATTTTATACCTCATAAATTTCGTAGGTCACAAATTCAGGCAGGATTCAGCTGGGCGACTTTTGTGTTAACCGTGGCATCAGTGGAGGTCACTCAGTGTCACCCACTTTGTGGGTGGGCTGGTCTAGAGAGTACAAGATAACTCAGTTACATGTCTTGCTCCCTGACAGAGATGGCTGGAATGCTGGATCTAATTGGAATTGTCCCCTGGAGCACCTACATATGGCCTCTCTACCATGATGGTCTTGGGTACTTGGGTGTGTTACACAGCAGCTCACAGCTCCAAAAGTGAGTGTTCCAGCAAGTAAGGTGGAAATTGCCTGACCTTTGATGACCAAGCTTTAGAAGTCACACCATTTCACTTCCACTTTATTGGTTGAAGCAGTCATGAGTACACGTCAAGGAGATGTGACATAGTTTCTGCCTCTTTGGACTGAGTGTCAAATAACTTGCAGCCTTATTTAAAAATTGCCTCAAGAACCAAAGCCAGGCTTTGAGAATAGAGGCAGGATTCTATAGGCTGAAGGATGACTAAGAGTTAGCTCACAGAGAGAGGGGAAAGGGATAGGTGGAGTTTTGCAAAGGTCTCCAAGATGAAGGAAGGCATGGATCGCTTAGAAAAGTGAAGGTGGTGAAGCAGGGCGTGTAAGGAGAATGGAGAAAGAATTTGTACTGAACAAATGTATGAGATGATGATATCGAATTAAAAATCTGGTGATGTTTTGAGTTCAGGATCTGCCACATAAAAGGTGTTCAGTAAATGAGAACGAATGAACAAATGAATGAAAGAATAAACAGTAAAAAGAGAAGATGGTCTAACACAATACTTTCAGAATTTCTTTTCTTTTCTTTTTTTTTTTTTTTTTTGAGACAGAGTCTCACTCTGTTGCCCAGGCTGTAGTGCAGTGGTGCTATCTCAGCTCACTGCAACCTCTGCCTCCTGGGTTCAAGCGATTCTCCTGTCTCAGCCTCTTGAGTAGCTGGGATTACAGGCCCCTGCCATCATGCCCACCTAATTTTTTTTGTATTTTTAGTATAAACGGGTTTTTCCCATGTTATCCAGGCTGATCTTAAACTCCTGAGCTCAAGTGATCCACCCACCTCCGACCCACAAAGTGCTGGGATTACAGACCTGAGCCACTGTGGTCAGCCTGGACTTTCTTAAACAGAAACCTTAGGAAGAAATACATATTGTACTTTTTATGTGTATAGTTGTGATATAGTACATCACAGCCTAGTTCACAAAAGCACATACACACACTTATGTGTGTTTAAGTTTCAAGAAACAATATTAACCTATATTATGGGTAACGCACTCTGACATCCAATCTGTTCTCTTTAATTCTATTTCATTATTTTCCAAAGTGGGTCATAATCCACAGAATTGGTTCAAGGCCCACCAAGGCTTTGAGACTCACAGTTTTGAAAGACACTGGCCTAAAAGAAAGAGAACAGCTTAGAGACATGAAGGTCAAGTCCTGATTCCATTAATTGTGATTTGAGTAAGACACACTCACCTACTTAGCTTCCATAGTACGTATTTCACAAAGTTGTTTTGAGATAAACAAAAGGTGCAAAAATGTCACTGAAATCTACAGAACATAAAGTATAAAAGTGTCCTGTATTTTCCATCTTTTTGTTATAATATCCTGCAATTCTGACTTCTGGGAGCATCATGATTTCCAAGCAGGGAATGGGGCTGGGAGGGTCCCCAGGAACAGGATGGGGGAGAGAGGACAGCCAGTTATTCTCTTCACCTGTCGAGGCGGTTCCCACTCCTCTTCTCCTCTCCCCTTCTCTTTGCTCTAGGGGCCCATCTGTGTGTATGCATCACCCAAGCCGCTTGATCTTTGGCTTCCATTTTTATTTGACCACTGGGTGGCACTGGCGGGAATCAAAGGACAGGAAGAGACATTGGAGTGCTGAGGCCTCTGTTTCCTCCCTGCCTGGCCACTTGGCAGTGGCTGCATTCTAATATGACCACGGCTCCTGCCTTCCCAATTCTGTAACATCAACTCCCCACCCCAGCTTCATCAGGCCGGGGGAAGCACCAGCTCCACTGTGGCTACACCTGAAGAGCTTCATACCCTCCCCCACCAACTCCTCTCAGTAAATAACCTCGTCACTAAAGCCTTTTCCATTAGACCCTCTGAGAGTGTCAGGTGTCCCCTGTGTGATCTCACTGGTCCAAGAAGTCACATGAAAACAAGCCTAGGACCCTTTGTATTTGTGAGTATGGGAACCAAGAGAGAGAATCAAGAGGCTGGGGTGACATCACTGTTGTGCATCCCAGACCTTCTAAAGCGTGTTTTTCATTCAGGTCATCCTATACTGATTATGATGTCAAATCAAAGGTGAGCGGATCACTAGGTCAGGAGTTTGAGACCAGCCTAGCCAAAAGACCAGCCTGGACAATATGGTAAAAACCGCATCTCTACAAAAACACAAAAATTAGCTGGGCATGATGGTGGGTGCCTGTAATCCAAGGTACTCGGGAGGCTGAGAGGAGAATTGCTTGAACCCAAGAGGCAGAGGTTACCGTGAGCCGAGATCACCCCACTGCACGCCAGCCTGGCTGACAGAGCAAGACTCTGACTCAAAAAAAGAAAAGAAAAGAAACATAGGTAACAACTTGGATTTGTGTCTGAAGTGAGGGAGGTCTTGTGGGACTGAGCCCCTAATCTGTGGGATCTGACACTATTTCCAGGTGGATCGCATCCTTTCTTTTACTTTCTCTCTTTCTTCCTTTCTCTTTCCTTCCTTATTTCCTTTCTTCCTTGCTCTTTCTTTCTTTCCTTCCTTCCTTCCTTCCTTCCTTTCTTTCTTTCTCCTTCCTTCCTTCATTTCTTTCTTTCCCTCTCTCCCTCCCTCCCTCCTTCCTTTCTTCCTTCCTTCCCTCTTTTTTTTGCCAGGCCAGGCTGGAGTGCAGTGGCACCATCATAGTTTACTGCAGCCTCAACTCCCCAGGTTCCAGCGATTCTGCCACCTCAGCCTCCTGCGTAGCTGAGACCACAGATGCACATCATCACACCCAGCTAATTTTTTAAAAAAGTTTTGTAGAAACAGGATCTTGCTATATTGCCCAGACTGGTCTTGAACTCTAGGGTTTAAGCAGTTCTCCCACCTCAGCCTGCCAAAGTGCTGGGATTACAGGCATGAGCCACCATGCCCAGCCAATAGCATCAAATTGAGTTACATTGTATGATATCCAGTCAGTGTCTTCCACAAACTGGAGAATTGCATGGTATGGAGGGAAAACACATACATTTTGGTGACCAGAATTGCGACAATATAGAAGAGGAAAGGTTGTTTTTCACCAGTCAGCACTGAGGACAAAAAGATATCAAAGCAAAACTAGACTCTGGGAAGACAACCAGAGGATGATACAATTCTGCCTCCTACCCAGGTAATCTTCACATCTCTGAGCATATGGAACTCCAGCCTCTTCCTGGACACCTGATGATCCCCCTGGGATGGGCTCAGGTTCTGAAAACACAGAACTGTGAGCACGTTGCATATCCCAAGCCAGCAGCACGGAAACCTCAGATGCTGAGGCTACGATGGGCGCTTGTTCTCTCTCAACCTTCTCTTTCTCTCTCTCCTTTCTTTTCTTCCCTTAATTCCTTCTTCCTTCCTTCCTTCCAAGATTTATACTATTACCTTTTAGGCAAAACATCCTGAATATGTAGAATAAAGTAATGAAAATGAAGTCAATTTCCCTGCTGTTATTTGTTAAGCTTCTGTAAGATCTCAAATTTTAGTCATTTGCATACCTACTATGCAATTTTTTCTATTCTATGGGCCATCAGTATTCTTTTCTATAAATCAACTAATTCTTTAACTTAAACCCTCTTTAAGTTTCATCTTGGCTGGGTGCTGTGGCTCACGCCTGTGAACTCAGCACTTTGGGAGGCTAAGGCGGGTGAATAGCTTGAGCTTAAGAGTTTGAGACCAGCCTGGCCAACATGCTAAAACCCCGTGTTTACTAAAAATACAAAACTTCACCAAGCATGCACCTGTAATCCTAGCTACTCAGGAGGCTGAGGCGGGAGGATCACTTGAACCCAGGAGGCAGAGGTTGCAGTGAGCCAAGATAACACCACTGTACTCCAGCCTGGGCAACACAGCAAGACTCTGTCTAAAAAAAAAAGTTCATTATAAACAGACACATCAGCAAAATCACATTTTACTGATTTTGTTCACTTGTATTTTTTTCTTATTACATATTAAAATAAATATGTTAAATATATTTATAAAACATATAATACTGTGAATATACCCAAAGAAAAATGTTGTGTGCTACTTAAAATCACCTCACTTGTCACAGATGGTGCATATGCCACACTTTAGAATCATTGCCCAATGAGCTCATATTTTTTAGGAGTATAAGGCACAATCATTGCTGTCACAGAACTTTACATCAAAGGAGAGGAAGATTTCACAGCAGACGAATACAAGGTGAACAAGGAAGACTATAGTTAAATCCCAAAGCGTGTGGCCAAGACAGGAAAGCAAATGAGAGGTCAGAAAAATAGAGACAAATGGCCAGTTTCTCAACACACCTGCCCCCTCATCGCTGGCCTCTGTCCATCTTTGAGGGCTAATCTCCCAGCCTTTTCCTGGATAGTCTCTTTTACAAACTGCTTATTCTTCTCCAAATTCACCATCTTCTCTCCCTCCTCAGTACATCCACTCACATTCCTCCAACTCTCCAACACGTCTGTCTTTTGGCCAATTTCTTTATTATTATTATTATTATTATTATTATTATTATTATTATTGTAGAGATGAGGTTTCACTATGTTGCCCAGGCTGACCTCAAACTCACACCCTCAAGAGATCCTCCTACCTTGGCGTCCGAACGTGCTGGGATTACAGGAATCAGTCACTGCACCCAGCCCTTATGGCCAATTTCTTTATTTTTATTTTTTATTTTGTTGATGTTTGCTCTTTTTGCCCAGGCTGAAGTGCAATGGCATGATCTCAGCTCACTGCAACCTCCACCTCCCGAGTTCAAGAGATTTTTCTGCCTCAGCCTCCCAAGTAGCTGGGATTACAGGCATGCGCCATCACACTCGGCTAATTTTTGTATTTTTAGTACAGACGTGGTTTCTCCAGGTTGCTCAGGCTGATCTTGAACTCCTGACCTCAGGTGATCCACCCACCTCGGCTTCCCAAAGTGCTGGGATTACAGGCATGAACCACTGCACCCAGCCTGGCCAATTTCTTTTCTTTTCTTTTTATTTTAAGACAGGGTCTCTGTTACCCAGGCTGAAGTATAGTGGCATGATCTTAGCTCAATGGAGTGTCCACCTCCTGGGCTCGAGCAATCCTCCTGTCTCAGCCACCTGAGTAGCTGGGACTACAGGCACCACCAGGCTGGTCTCCAATTCCTGGGCTCAGTGAATCCTTCTTGGCCTCACAAAGTGCTACAATTACAGGCATGAGCCACCTTGCCTGGTCCTTTTGGCCAATTTCTTTTCAACTCAATTCAACCATCTCATTTTCTCTCATGATTGCTTGTCAGATTTTACAGCACTCTTTTGCAAATGAGGTAATGTTGCTTCCTCCTGCTAGTCCAATGGATGGAGAGCCTCAGTAGTTGGCAGGCAAATGGTACCCTGTATAGATAGAAAAGCAATGTTTCCCCTGGATGTATGCAGGCCTATGCCAGGGCCCATGAGCTAGATTTCTGCCCTTCTGGCCTGGCACCTGTGTGCATTGCACACTGTGCAACATAAGTGGCAAACCTGCCTCATCTACACAAACTCAGGGGGAGTTAGCTTCATTCCCGCCTCATGTTTATTGATTCATTCACATCTCACCAGTAAACAGTCAGCAAGTTGAAAGGTCTTCATCCATCTATCTCAGAATCTTTGGCAACTAATAGAGGATCTGTAAACTGGTGCAGAATAAATATTTACTAGACAAATGATGATCAATCAGTGGCTATATGCTGAAATGGTTCAGAAAGCAATAGGCACTGGGAAACTGCAGAAAGAGTACGAATTCCAACTAGAATGAATTTTAACTCACCACTAATCATGTTGCCCAATACACAAATTGTACTAACTGCTTATATGATGTGGGTAGAAAATACCTCCAAGTGGCCACAGAGTGCAACAAACAAGGACAAATCTTCATCTGGACAGAAACATGACCTGCCTCCCTTATCCCAAAGACTAATGACTGCTTAGGGAAGATACCATGCCTGTCTTGTTCCACGCTATGCCACCAGAGCGCACTTAATAGTACTTGTTCAACAAATATTGATTCAACAAATATGTTTAAGTACACACTCCCTGCCTACCTCTTTTTATATATAGATGTGTGTGTATATGTGTGTGCACGTGTGTGTGTGTGTGTGTGTGTGTATTTATTTTTAAATGATGGGTGGAAAGCTGTGAGCTCAGTAGACCCAACACTGCAATAAAAGCACAATGAACACAATGGTTCAGACGTGCAAAAAAAGGGGAGGGCTATTCTGTGACTCTAACTGTTCACATCACGTTCTTAAATTCCATTCCTGTTGACTGTAGAAAAAAACTTAAACTTGAAAATTAAAGATAACTCAATTTCTTCTCATTTAAAACAGATCCTTTGGGTCTAACGCTCTCTCCTCTGAGTAAATGTTCACTTGGTTCAAATATCAAATTCCTTCTCAGGGCTATTTCTCTTCTCCAAAAGGCCCCCCTTGGGTACAAGGGAAAAGCTCATACATCTTCATAATGGCCATGGTCTCTGCAGGTCCCTGATGTGGTGTGGCTGGTCTACTCTTGTCCCTGCAGGTCCTGCATGGGTCCTCACTGAGGTATAACTGGCTCCACCTGGTTATCTCGAGTATGGTGTGGCCCCAACTGCTCCAGACTCATTCTGATCCCCGACTCTTCTTCATCCCTCTATCCCATCATCTAAGAACTTACAGATATCCTGCACGCGTTCCCTGGTTTCTCAGGCCCATCACCAAGTACCTCACTTAGACATTTTCAAATTACCCCCTGAGGGCTTCATAAAGTTCCAGCTCCAGGCTAGATGCAGGGCTACCCTAAGGGGCTGACAATTACCTAAGTTATCTGTCAGAAACAAGGGCTAAGCCCTGCCACAGTAGGATGCCACATACCCATCTGTACTTTATTTCACCCCTCCTTGCTCATCTCCCCTCCCCTGGGGAGGGCGGATTCCCTCCCATGAAATCTGTAGCTTTTCTACTTCTCTCTCTCTTTTCTCATATTCCTTGCCTGTCCACTGCACCCACAAGGCTGGAAGGGACTTTTCTTACAGCATAACCTGAGTCTCTATCTTTGGTTTCTCATAAAATACTCTGTTCAGATCACTAATTTAAATGCATTCCCCTTCTGCTCTTGATACGTAAAAGGGGCTTTTGTAATCCACAAATCCTTATTTTCTCTCCACAAAGTCTGGATTTCAAGACTATTGTTTCATTACGGAATTCAAAAACCTGTTTTAAAGTCAACTCTGTAGACTGATTCTTTCTTTTTGGAATCCTGCTAAGATGCTTCTGGCTGAACATGAGAAGGCCCTATTCAAGGACATTCACACATTTCAACAAGTAGAATATCTGTCACATCAGCAAATTTAACTGTCCAAACCACAAAACCTTCACAATCTGCTCCCTTCTGAACCCTTGCTGGGAGGGGAAAAGTTCAGATGACCCAAACCCTTGTACAGATAGAATGGAAACAGCCTGGATTCCAGCCTCCACTACTGGATGGTCAGTGGTTAATCAGAGGTTCTCATGAGTATGATCCAAAGATGTGGAGATGAGAGCCAGTTCTTGGTGGATACCAGTCCCACAATGTCGAGTAGAGTGAGGGCCAAAGTCAGCATCACAGCAAGATAAAGCTATGAGCAGCTACCCTGGAGCCAAAACAAAGTGGAGGAAGAGTGAAACAGATGTACAAAGGAAAGCAAAGCCCAAAGCCCACGTGATCTTAGGGCCCACGAGATGGTCTGAATAGCTGTTTGGCAACTTTCTAGATTCCTTGAGGCCTGGATGTACTTCTTGACTGACTTTAGTTTTCAAGAGATTCCCTTTCATACTTTCAATAAAGCGAGTTATAGGAACCCATGTCCCTTCTTAATGATCCCTGACTGAGACATTGGAAAAAGACAGGGGCCAGGTGAATGAGTGAGTAAAAAACAAGCTTCTGAAGGTGACAGAGACCTTGGAGTCTTTTGCCTTACCAAATTCTCATTTCCTGAACTGTCTTTTGGGAGGTGTAGATTCAGAACTCAAACACCCAAGTCCAGGCAAATTCCTCTCCAGAAGTTCAATCAAGTTCATCATACTTTCTTGAGGAGGAAGTGTTTGAGGAAAGGTCCACATCCAGACTCCCAAGAGAGGGTTCTTGGAGCTCACGCAGGAAAGAATTGAAGGCGAGTCCACAGAGTAAAGTGCAAGCAAGTTTATTAGAAAGTAAAGGAATAAAAGAAGGGCCACTACTCACAGAGCAGCCCCAGCAGAGCAGCAAATTTTATAACCACACAAATTGCCCATTTTTATGGTTATTTCTTGACGATACGCTAAACAAGGGGTGGATTACTTATGTCTCCCTTTTTAGACCATATGTGGTAACTTCCTGATGTTGCCATGGCATTTGTAAACTGTCATAGTGATGGTGAGAGTGTAGCAGTGAGGATGACAGGAGGTTACTCTCGTCACTATCTTAGTTTTGGTGGGTTTGG